GTGGCATTGCGTAGTGAAGCATTGCATCACAAAGCATTGCAGCGCAAAGCATGGCATCGCACAGCGGCAGCACAGAACACAACACTGCGCTGCATGGCACGGCATGGCACCCGGTTACTCGGAGGGTAAATTGATCTTCTTCGAGAGGTCTGGGCTGGTCTGAAGTCGCGGCTCCATGTTCAGCTCCCTGGGCTCCCCGGAAAGCTCCCCACGAGGCGGGCTGATGGAGAACACCCGCTATCAACATCGCCTTCTCAAAGCAGAAAAGGGGCTCCCGCATGACTTCTCAAAATGCGGCCCACAAATCAACGAATCGACACCAGATGTGTAAACATTTCCGATGTTTTTCTGGGGTATCATATTGTAGATTTTGGACCTATTTGGAAGGGTTGGAACAGCCCGCGCTGCAGCACGGGCACGATTTGGAACGACCAGAGGCGCAGAAATGGGACCAGCGCTGCAGAGGGAGCAACATTTTGAAGGACCGAAAAGAATCGGATGGTCAAAAGCACATATGAAATTCAAACTCCCGGCAATCCAGTGTAAAAGATCAGTACGCGGAGGGGGGCCGAACATCTTCCCGGCCAGTCTCGGGGGAGAGAGGCGAACAGTATTCACATTGTCATTGTGGAGGGCGGAGAGGGGAGGGTGAGGAGGAGAAGGAGGAACTTAATTTGAACCTTCATGTTCTCTGTGCCTGACTTTACCTGCGCCTGCCCGCGGTATAATTTGTTTGCTCACTCCCCCTAGGTGGGCGCTCAATTTTCTTTTGATGAGCGCAGCAAGCTTGGCCTTAATGTTTGCCTGACGTTCAAAAAGAGGAGGAGAAGAAGGAGGAGGAGGACGAGGACGAGGAGGATTAGGAGGAGGAGGAGGAGGAGGACTACCTTGGGCAGGGTGCTCCCGCGTGAGGGTTCGCCACAGCTTCCTGTTCGGACGCTTGTCGTCTCCATCCTGGATATGTTGTCCAAGTTGTCCAGGGGAGTTTGTTTGTTAAAAAACAAAAACGAACAACTTGTCTTTTTGGTATTGGATACGTTAACTTTCCATCATATGCAGCACCATCGATATTCATTGGCCGTGGCTCCAGATCGTCGCAGGAGTTGGCGACATCACGCCGAAGTGCCGACCCGAATCGGTCGATGATTGGCGGAAGCGGGGATCATCGGTGGCCAAACCGACCCATAGCAGGCCATCCCTTTCCGTGACGTCTCCATGTGTGCGGCTGGAGGGAAGCCCGAAGGGCGAGGGTGACGTCACGGAAGGCGATGGTCTGCTGGGGGTCGGTTAGACCGCGCCCGAGGGGAACCCTTCCGCTGTGTTCGTGCGAGATGGCCTCGCTGCCCTGCGGCGGGCAGGGCGGCGGGCAGGAGGAGGAGGAGGAGGAGGAGGAGGAGGAGGAGGAGGAAGAGGAGGAGGAGGAGAATGAGGAGGAGGAGGCGGAGGAGGAGGAGGAGGAGGAGGAGGAGGAGGAGCAGGAGGAGGAGGATGAGGAGGTGGCCTCGCTGCCTGCGGCGGGCAGGGCGGCGGGCAGCAGCGAGCTCGAGCGCCGCCGCCTGCGGCGCTCGGTGGCCCGCGAGTCTGGCAGCCTGTCCCTCGTCTGCTGTCTCTTCGCCCACGCACCTCCTCTCCCATCTCGCTCCCTGTCTCACTCCCTTTCACTCTCTCTCTCTATCCCTCTCTCCCTCACTGTCCCTTTCCCTCTCTCTCTCTCTTTGCTCTCTCTCTCTCTCTCGCTCTCTCTCTCTCTCTCTCTCTTTCCAGGGCCCTTTTCTACATGCAGCCTGGAGACGCACGTCGTCTGCGGCAAGGCCCCTGCCTCAGCGCCAGGTTCGCGAATTGGGGTCATGGCGTGGAACGCACAGGAGCTCTGGAAGGACTTGCAAGGCTCAGTTTTAAAGAACGCTGCGCTGAAAAATAGTTCCATGCTGGCCGCGTACACGAATGTCCTAGAAAATCTTGTGCAGTCTGGGGCCTGGTGGGTCTTTTTGGCGACTGCCTGATATTATACTCCCTTTGTTGGGACGCGACGTGATGGCATTGCTGAGTCCCGCACCGTGCACGGTGGCAGTATTCCGTGCCCGTGCAACTTGCCGTTTCGGCTCATTTTCGGCATCGCCATCGCCCAATCGAAAGGACAGGAAGTCGTTCACAGGCCGAGACAGGCTAAAGACGACCCTCTTCGCTGCAAAGGACTTGGGACACTCCATCGTGCCCAGACTTCCGATGCACTTTTTCGTTTTTTTCAATATGGGGTCCGCAGACCTCTCGATCCCTTCCCCAGGGATGGTTAGCATCCCCGATCTTTTCGTTGACGGTCCCTGGGACCGAATCGACCTCCCGACTTTGCGTGAGTTGCGACGGGTATCCGCCTCTGGCCGCACCCCCGAGGCGACCCGGAGTGGTACGAGTGGAACCACCTCCAGTACAAGTTCTACTGCAAGCTCTGCGGCAAGTACGCGGAGGATGGCCATGTGCGGAGCGAGATGCACAGGAAGAGGCCAGTCTTCCTTTTCATCCTTCGCCCGCCTGGTGCGGGCCAGAGAAATCGTGGCCCAACCATCGGTTCGACTCGCCATCCTCGCTCGCCACTGTTCTGCTTCCCCTCGTCGTCCTCTGTCATCCTCCCTCCATCCCTCCCTCCTCCTTGTCATCCCTCCTCCTCCTCCTCCTCTTACTTCCTCATCCTCCTCCTCAGGCTCTCTTCGTGTCCCCTCCTCCCCCTCCTCCTCCTCCTCCTCCTCCTCCTCCTTCTCCATCTCCCCTCTTCTTGTTTCGCCTTTTTTCCTCCTCGTCCTCCTCCTCCTCCATTTCCTCCTTCTCCCCCTCTTCTTTCTTCTCCTCCTCTTCCCCCTGCTCCCTCATCCGCTGACCTCCGCCGCCGTCCTCCACTCCTCCTCCTCTTCTTAGTCCTCCCTCGTGTTCCCTCCCCGTGATTCTCCCCCCGCTGCCACTCCGCCATACTCCACCTTGTCTACCTCCCTCTTCATCCTCCTTTACCCTCCTTCCCAGTTTGAGAGCCACATGCCATCCATGCGTGTAGTTGTTTGAAACTCTTGACGCTTCGCGTGTCCCCACCAGCCCATCCAACAACAAACGCCCGTCGTGTTGTCCTGATCAGGGGTGTACAGCCGCATGTGGCCCAGCAGTGAACCGCATCCGTCTTCGTGGGTTTCCGAAAAGACGGGGAGGAAGAAGCGACGACGACGATGATGACGACGACGATGACATGAGTAACTTTCAAGGCCCTGCCGATTGTCAGCCGTGGGAGCGTCAGGGAGGCCTTTTGGGGCCGTTCTGGAGACCTCGTGGTCCCACGTGTCCTCTCTTTGGGCCATCTCGGGGCATTCTCGGGACCCTCTTGGGGCCTCTTAGGCTGCGGAGGCCCTCTTGGGGCCAACCCAGAAGCTATAGATCAAACAAGACAGAGGCGTCAATTACACCCCCTCCCCTGCTGTCAGAGACGAACCTCTTGGGGCCCTCTTGGGGCCCTCACTTTAAACGGAGAAGGTTAAAGGCGAGGTATAAATCGAGCATGTACCGCTGCCGTGACTGGCTCAAGCCGGGCCCGGCCAAATATATGACTGTGCCTCACTGAGGCGCACGACTTGCATCAGAGATCGGAAAATACCTTTTCCATTGACGATGCCCATCCTATCCTTTACTCCAGATCCCATGCTTCGTCTTGCTCTCTTGCTCATGCGATATGAGCCAAAGCCTGGGATATGGCAACGCTTAAAGCGTAACACATACCTAAGCTTACCAGCTTGTTTTCGACTTGGTAGCGGAGCTGGCTACACTCTCGTGTGGCTGGCTCTCGCTCTGATTCCTGTAATCCACGGCACAACTTGGTGGACTACTACTACGGTGGAATACCATGTTGCGCCGGCTCTGCGAGGAGCGGAGCCAGTCCGCGATCGAGCTAGCGGGGCAACCCGCGAACTCGAGACGCTCTCTCCTACTTCACTGCGCTACTTCACTCCCGACTTCCACCAGATGCCAATCGGCAACTCGATCGAGAACGTGGTCACCCTGCGGGGCTACCCGCAGCGGGGCCACCTGCATCCCGTGCCAGTCAGGCGCCTCACGGCTACTACGCCAGAGCCTGACAAACCACAGCCTAAACCAATCACCGAAGCCGAAATGCACATGCATTGGATCAAGATAACTATATTCGGCATTCTGTGGGTAATAATGGGATGTGCTGTGGGATACATGCGGCAGGGGATGGACGACACGCGTACTACTGGCCCTTCATGGGACCCTGCCGGTACTACGCCTTTTCGCGAATACGTTCGCGAAGTACATGCATGGTTAAACGTAACGAGTGGCAATATGACACCACCACAACAAGCTGCAGCACTACAACGAGGCCTTCAAGGTCTGGCTCGTCGTATCGCCATGCAGGTCCCCTCCCAGATCATCAATTATGGTGTAACTGTCAATGGACAGCCAACGGATGCAGTAACATATATACTGTACTTACTGAGCACCAAATTTGAAAATCTGGAAGATGAGCGCCAGCTCAACTCTGGCACTGCCCTTATCGACTTCCGCGTCGAAAGGGGCGAGCGAATCGACTCAGTATTAGCTCGATTCGAGATGGCCCGTGACGAGGCTAACTCTGTTGGCTTTGTCATCCCCAACTTTCAGATCCTAACGCTGATTCTCTTCAGAGCGTTAGGCGTTGGCGCGTCACGAGCCCAACACCTGCTTGAGCCCTTCAATCATCAGATGCCCCGAACACAAGCAGACTATGACAGGCTGCTGACCAGGATGAGGAACTACGGACATGTTGCCGAGCGCTCTCCTGGCAACATAGCGGGTATCTTCACAGGGCACCACTCACATGCAGGTGTCTACGCCACGACTGCGGGGTCACCCGCTGGTCCTGGCGAGCCAAATCCCTGGGCTGACCCAGCCGATATGCCCAACGAGGCCACTGCCCTTTTAGGGCAGACTGGCCAGGCATCGGCAGAGGCAGCTGAGGCGAACGCCTGGTCGAACTACTCGCCAGGCGCCGCCTACACTGCAAGCCCGCCCTCGGGCACAACCCTCTGGGGCCAAGCGGAGTCATCCGCTCAAGGGTCTCAGCCACCCTCACCGTTTGAATCTGGCACTGACACGGATACCTCATCTGACGATGAGCACAATGGCATAGTCTCTGCTGGTAATGACTACCCAGCGGATGACACTCACCTCTCTGAACAACAAAGAGCGGAAGCCGCCTTTATGGCTTATCGCAAATCAAAACGCCGTTGGAGGCGCTTTATGAAGAAACCAGTCAGAAAGGTGAGACGTGCAGTACGCCGACATTTCAAACGATTTGGAAAGGGTCGTGGCAAAGGGGGTCGCAGACGCCGTATGCATGGTAGGGGTATTACTGCTTTCCTCACGTCCTTAACTGATATGGCTTTTGAAGAAGTTCTTATCGGAGGCAAAGGTCGGGGTCGCAGGCGGACCTCCGGTAAGGGAAAAGGGCGGGGGGGCAACCCTAGGGACGCTTCTGGCAATACTATGAAGTGTCATACATGCGGTAGCACAGAGCATTTGCGCGATCAATGCCCGAAGGGGAAAGGAAAGGGATCCGTACATTTGGCTCAAAATTCTTTTATGGATGACATAGATTACATTGACTACGAGTTTTACGTCAATCCAGAAGCGGCTCCCGCCGCGGGCTCCTCCACGCATTACGTGATGGCCCGCTACGCTGAAGCAACTGTAGCCCTGGAAGACTACGCAGTGACCCTCTTCGACGAGTTCCACGGCTGGGACGAGGTCGACGAGGTCGCGTACAATGCTTGGTTCGGTCTTCCAGCGGGGCCACCCGCCGGCGACGAGGTCTCCGAAGCCGAGACCGTCCCGGCAACAGAGGAAGAACTCACCGCCGTGCTGGCCCCGCAAGTGATTGGCATGCCGTTGCTGCCAAATCCTTCGTGGGCTGGTTCGGAGGCGGGAGACGCCGATGACGAAATGCGGGGCCATCCCGCGTATTCCGACTCCGAAGAAGCCGAAGAAGATTATAAGGACATGCTCCAAGAGCAGGTTTCAGAAGCAATCCGACTCCTGAGTGCGCCAGCACAGCAGCAGATAACTATGAACGAACTGCTGTCACACCCAGGAGCTGCACGTCTACGTCCATACTTGGATTCGGACATGTCAGCATCTCAGATGCTGACAGCACTCCAAGCTCTAGCGGGGTCACCCGCCGAAGAGACGCCAGACGCAACAGCGGGGCCACCCGCTTGGTCTATGGATGTATTCATGCAAGGTTGTGATCAAATGGACATTAACGACCTCACGATGGAGCAGTTAAACGACATCGGGTACTTCCGAAGCCCGTATCAAAACGTGTTCATGGTCCAGGACAGCTCAGAGGACTCGGAGGACATGCGCTACGCCAAGAGGGACAGACGACCGTCGCCTCCCCGAGACTCAGAGCATGACGATCAAAGGCCAATGGCACGTGGTAGTGCGTCAGCGGGGCCAGCCCGCAGAAGGAGCCGTTCAGCTCCCAGACGCCCCACACATGATGAATCGGGCTATCCATACAGTACTGAGCACTCCGTCGGAGTATCCGCTCAGCATGTGCCGGATTGGTACATCAAATGGTACCCCGGCTACTCGATGGACACGCTTCGCCACTGGTATTCTAAGGAGTACTGCACTAAAAGGGACGAAACTGGCGCGATAATACGTACCAAGGGTGGCAAGACCAAGACGCCAGAGGCTTGGGACAAAAGGGCTAAGAAACAGGAGATCATCAACGATCGCAAGACATACAGGAAACAAGTATGTCAGTGCGAGCCCTTCAAAGGTCACATGCGCAGGTGTCCGATGGACCGCCCCTCCAGGAGCCCTCATCACGGTGAGACCCCGTGGAATTGGTCTCATGGAGATGACGCTGGCAACGTCCATGATCCTAATAAGGAGGTCCCTGGAGGAGGAAAGCGCATCACCGAAGCCGATCGTGTCCCTATGACCGAAGAGGTGGCCAACATCGTCAGGGAAAATTGGGTACAGCTTCCCAATGACCATCGCCTCAAGGAATGGAACCGCCGATTCCATAAAGAGGCGGGGTCACCCGCTGGATCCATTAAAGAGGCGGGGTCACCCGCAGAATCCAGCAAAGAAGCGGGGTCACCCGCAGACGCGGCGCCAGCCGCTGGGTCCGCGGACGACGAGTGGATAGCTGTTGCATCTGCTGCCGGGTCCGCCGCCGGCACAGACCACACCGAACTGAATGAAGAATGGGCGGCGGAAGACGGCTCAGAGAATCCATTCCCTGATGGAAGCGCCTGCTGGTACTACAGCTCTTCGGCGCAGAAGTGGTTTTGCACGAGGGTAATCTATCGCCATGAAAATGGCAAGTACAAGCTGGCCATAAAAGGTACTGCCGACATCGACCAGATGAGGCAGGTCATCCATGATCATGGCCAGCCAGAAGGCCCTCCTAGAGACCCTCCTGGTCCACAACCGGGCAAGGGCAGCAGACCACCT